ATTTATTTTAGTTTCGGAAATTGGGGCTGTTAGATCCCTCGAATAGCTTCAAATTGTAGTTAGAATCGTTAGTTCAAATCTTTCTGTATAGATGGCGTGGCGATACTAAAAAATTTTTTGTTCCCTGGAACGTGGAAATGCAGTCCATCTGAAAGATCGTTAAATTTTCAGTAATTTTTGTAATATAAAGTTTTTCCCTATATTTACTTGTTTTCGAGATATGTCGACTTCAATATGCAATTTATGATATAACGGGAAAATATATTATTTTATCTAAATCACACCGAACAAAATATTCTTTTAAAATATTGTTATAATGACTTTATTCACACCACATACTAACTAACATACAATAAATTATAAAAAAAAAACAAATGATCAACTACAGAAAAAAAAATTGTACAATAGTAAATCTTATAAGGGACAGAGACGAACCGTATTTTTATCAAATGTTATTAAAAAATGCAGTCATAGGTGGCTCATGTTATTTGTTTAAAACAAAACAATGACAGACGACACATATTAATTTTCCAATAATTAGTTTTATCAGTTTGCGTCTTTCAATTTAAGTATACTAGTTAAACGATTTGCCATTGTACAATTTTTTTTCTGTAGTTGATCAATTATCTTTTTATAATTTATTATTTGTTAGATAGTATGTGGTATAAATAAAGTCATTATAACAATATTTTAAAAGAATATTTTGTCTCGGTGTGATTTAGATAAAATAATATATTTTCCTGTTACACCATACATTGCATATTGAAGTCGACATATCTCGAAAACAAGTAAATATAGGGAAAAACTATATATTACAAAAATTACTTAAAATTTAACGATCTTTCAAGTGGACTGCATTTCCACGTTCCAGGGAACAAAAATTTTTTTAGTATCGCCACGCCATCTATACAGAAAGATTTGAACTAACAATTCTAACTACAATTTGAAGCTATTCGAGGCACCTAACAACCCCAATTTCCGGAACTAAAATAAATTTCTTCATTTCAGAGATACTGGCAGCGGGAGTGTTAATTGGCACACCCTGTATATGCGAAAATAACAGCGTCAGAATATTTAACTACAAGTCCACCGGTTTATAATATCTCAACACTTTTCATGTAGTTTTAAAACAATTTTTTCTAAAATTTTTATGATACATATACTTATACTCGACGGCCAAAATTATAGATAGTGATTCATCGCTAGCTCTTGGACTAGTAAGGGGAATGAAGCGTGCCGGGAACAAAAATCCATTGGCGTGTCTGCGTAAAAGGCAACAAGATATAGAAAATATTGAAAAAACATAATAAAACAAAACATCTAATATTTTTTACGGTTTGCTATAACCGGCACTTTGATCAATTTTAATTATTACAGCATTTTAAAACGTCCCAGTTGTGTTTTTTTAATTTATAAATTTATTATAGCCATGGAATTAGACCCCTCGTCTACGC